GCTTGTCTAATAACAAGTCAACTAGAGTTTGACTTTTAGGTTGTCATGAGCTTTATTGCAGCCTAATTCTAATTTGATTTGAACCTGTTAAAAATATTTGTAATTTAAAATTTTCCAAATACATAATAAAAAAAATACATGGATTAGTAAAAAAAAAAATATACATACTACATAATAATTTTTTAATATTATTTTTTATTTAAATTGTAATGTCATAGGTATTATTTTAAATCTTAACTATAATTAATATTATTAAAAATAAGTTATGATTATATGTTAAAATTAAAAATAAAACTGGATATAAATATAAAATTAAAATTAAAATTATGACAAATAAAAAGAGCAGAGCAGATCAGATCTCACAGATTTAACACGCTTCTAATGAAAACTCAAGTCTGAACCGTTAGATAAATAGCTTTAAAAAAGTCATAAACCTATTTCTATCTTGAAGACTAGACCAAGTACTGTTCAAGCCGAAAGTCCTTCACTGATCCTGATTCCTGGCCAATTTTCACCCCACTGATAGAGGATAAAGACAAAGCTGTCAGTACATCACGATGCCTCACACGACCGCAGCATCGTCTCCACTCTCCAAGGACATTGAATTTTTGGCCATCTCTCTAAACTGTCTGACAAAGACAGATGATATAAGCTCATATGATATATTATTATTATTATTACTCCTCGGCTTATTATAAAAGACTCATTTGACTTTTTATTTGGTCCTAATTATAAGACCTCAATCCATTTTGTCTCTTATATTTATTCATTTTTTTCTCAAGATAATCCTTCTAATAATGATAGTTTTAGCCAATATACTTAATTAGCAAGGATATTTTAGGAATGACAACACTTATTTATTATAAATAACCAACTTAACTTACTTTCTTAATCTCCTCAAATAAATCAATTGAGTCTTTAATTAGGATCGGAGGAGTATTATACAATTTAAATCATATGCAAATATATTAATGCCGGACTCAAAATCTCATTTAAATGTGACGGATTAGATAGCTAGGGGACCACCCACTGGCTGGCGCTGAATATTTTAGTGCAGAAGCAATGGGCTTCGAGAAGAATCTTAGCTGTTAACGTCCATGGATTGTGGGACTGGCGTGGCTTACTTCATTCTGGAATCTGGAAGGCGCCATTGCCACTGAGTCTCAAATGTTGTCGTTTAGCCTCTAGTTTAGATAATGAGACAATATTCATATGATTAGTTTAGTTAAGCTGAATAGTAATTTAAAATCAATAAAAATTTATGACAAATTTAATACTTATAACTCTTTTTATTAGTATATATAAATTAGTTATAAATTATTTTTTCAGTAAAATTATAAATTGTTTATACTACTTCATGTCATAATTATACAACACCGTTTATAGTTTATAAATGAGATCAAAAGTAGTATCTGGGATGAGTTGGGAGTGTTTGGGAGAGAAAGTGCAGCATGAAACAAAGGCGTTGCCGGTTTCCAATGTGAAGCCACCAAGAGGCAACCCTCGGCCAGATTTACAATTTACAATATAAAGAGAGTTTTTTTTTTTTCCAATCTTTCGTATAAATTATCTCATTAAATTTATTTATTAAATAAATAAATAAACTTTCTTTCTAATTGTGCAAACTATTTTTGTTTTGAAAAGTACATGTATATATGCATGCATCAAACGAAGATAAAATTTAAAAGTTATTAAATTTTAAGATAGAATTAATAAGATTTAAATTTTTTGTTTAATAAAATATATTTGAAGCGTCCTATAAATTTAGATAGTTATTAATTATCGTTTTTAATTTTATTCTTATTTCAAATTACTAAGAGGGAATTTAATTTAATTCAAATTCACTATTTCTTCATTGCTCCTTGAATGCGATCTGTTTTCCACTCTCTTTAATACGAGTAAAGTTAAGAGTATTTAAATTTTAAGACAAATAATTTGTAGCCATTTGCGCAAGGGAAAATATATTATAAGTCCTTATAGTTTGATCAGATTTGAATTAGATTCTTATAGTTTTATTTCTCTTTATGAATCATTGTAGTTAATTTTGTTAAATTTACAAGTCCTTCTGTCACTAACGCTGCAAACGCCGTTAACCCACAATAGCAGAAGATGATCTAGCAGTGCACTCTCCCTCCCCTCCCTCGAGTTTGTGTCTCTCTCTACATCACCTTTCTCTTTCATCTGTTAAAGCTAACCACAATGAGCTCGATGACACCCAGGAGTGAAGAAGGACTACCTCTTCAACTAATATTACTCCTCATCAACATGGAACACTGCTTCTATGCTGTTATATCAAAACAAAGAAGCTTTGATCAGAGTCTTATGGGAGGAATTGATGAAATTTTTTCGGCATCTTAGGCTTTTTTCTTCACTTGTAATAATATTTCTGGCACATATATAACCTCCTTTCATATCGCTCTGATTCTAGTCTACTTGAGCCAGCAGCATCGCGTTTTGGTGAGTTTCATGTTTATCATATTTTCATGATCCATGATATATATAATTATGGCAATTAGTTTCCTCTGAGATCTGAATTCATTAAATCTTGCTTATCTATAACAAAAGACAAAGAAGCAGCAGGCTAATGAATGCAGCCATAGGAGTTCACCGAAAAAATTGCCATGGGTGCAACGCTGAACGCCAATCCTCACTATACTCCGTCTTCACGTAATCGAACTTATAACAACATAAAAGCAGTGTGCTCATGTTGATGAGGAGTAGGATCAGTCGAAGAGGCAATCCTTCTTCACTCATTTTGGGTGTCATTGAGCTCATTGTAGTTAGCTTTAACAGATGAGAGAGAAAGGTGATGCAGAGAGAGACACAAACTCAGGGGAGGGGAGAGAGAGCACACTGCCAGATCATCTCCTGTCATTGTGGGTTAACAGCGCTTGCAATATTAGTAACGGAAGGACTTGTAAATTTAACAATTAACTATAAGGATTCAATAAAAAGAAATAAAATTATAAGGACATAATTCAAAATCTAATGGACTTGCAAATATGTTCTCCCTTTGCGCAATTTGCAAATATTTTGTGTCAATATTAAATTATAATTTAAAAAAAATCTAAAATTGACAACTAGATATAATATATATCATACACAACATCTTTTATCTTCAGAAGAAAGCGCTCAGCTCCTTTCCGATAACTATACCTGTTGATGCTGATTCAGCAATGTATCCTTTTTTTTTTTTTCCCTCATTCTCATTGTAATTAAATTCAATTTTACTTCTTGTTTGCAGTTTAGCCTTCAGATGCCCATAATCACAGTGGTTTACCTCGCCCCATGCAAAATAGTGTTGTTTTTTTGTTCATCAATTTAATGGAAATGAAAAATGTTTAAGGAAAATGACATCTGTAATAAAACTCTGCAAATCTTTAAAGATTACCTGTAAAATTTCTCGTCATCTTATTTCTAAAAATAAAACACCCTCTCATCAACCGTAGTTATTCAAATTGTTCGTTATTAATTAAATTAATTATTAAAAGTAACTAGTGAATGATTAAATAAAAATATTTTTAAAAAAATTAATATTGATAATATATTTATTGAATCCAACTAATTTTAATTAATTTATTATTTTTTGCCAACCAACTAGTTTTAATTTATTTATTTTTTTTTGGTATTGATAAATTAATTATTCAGTATACTTGGACCCCATTACTTAATAAGTTTAAACGAGAATATATGGGCCCAACCATTACATAAACTAATTATTATTTGTTTTATTATTTTTCCCTTCTTCTTTTTGTGCCATTTATTTTGCCCTTCTATACAATTGAACTTTATAAGTAATTGGTTCATTATAATTACTATAGCACTGACTTTTGTTAAGAACGAATTTGAAACTCTACAAATTCTTTACATACTTAAGTATTATAACTATCTTTTAACTTATATTTTTAGTCCACCAACGACCAAGGGAAGAAGAAGAAATAAATCCTATGTATATATATAGTTCAATTAAGTTGGCAAAAAAAATTATACTTCTCCGGTTCTTAATATAAGACCCATTTAACTAATTTGATTAGATTAAGAAAGTTAGGTAAATTAGTTAATTATAAGAAATGTAACACGTTTTTTCTAAAACACCATAATCATCTTTCTTAATACCCATCTTCCTCTTCTACTTAATTATGGTTGAGGGAGTATCTATAGGATTAATTTAGAGAAAATTGATAAATATGAGAAATGAGTTTTATATTTAGGATCAAAACCAACTCAACAATTGGGTCCTATATTAAGGACCGGAAAAGTATATTGTAATCTTTGTATTATAAATTATGTGTATGAAAAAACGACTCTAAATTATGCTCACTTCATACTAAACATTTTAAAAATTAAATTGCAATAACTTAGTTGGGCATTAAAAAAACAACTCTTTAACTTGGGCTAATATGAGTTGAGATAAAATGCTCATTATTTTAACCTGACATTTTGAACCATACAGTCTTTTGCTCTGTTAAAAAATAATTAAGTATTATTTATTTACTCACATTCTATATTACCATACAATTTAAATTTCTGATGGAAATTTAATTTTATCATAATCAGTGTCTATTTCGTTTGCAAATCTCTTTTATTTATAAAACTTCTAAGTTTTAACAATGCATCTTGCGAGATCCACACTAATTATGAAAGTTGAAACTATTTTGGACTATTTTCGGTTGGCATAATATAGAAATAAAAATAAAAATTTAATCTTCCAAATATTACATCAAATTTAATTTTAAATCATACACTATAAAACGTGTCTTATAAGTTTTTTGGTCCTCACTCATTCATGTTCTCGCTCGTTCCGTGCCTTTCGGAATCTCTATACGGTCCCATAGCCCCAAGGAAAAATCTCTGTATTAGACCCCCAATAATTCATTAACCTTTTTTATGAAAAAAACAAATACAGAGGACAGTTTTGCTCCCGAGCATGCATACATATATAGCAACCTTCTTCTTCAGACCATTCAGATCAAAAGTTCTTCGAACTCACTTCCACATTAATGGCCAATTCACATTCAACCCCTCTTCTTTCCCAATCCAAATCTACCGATGAATCTGAAGTTCCACAGCCTGAGAAACACCTTCCATCTCTGGGCTCCACAATGGAACGTTGCTTATCAGGATTCACCCCTTCCCAGTTCCTCCAACCCCTTCACATTTCCTTCGCTTGGATTTTCGATGCCCACCAAATTTTCATCACTGTCTTTACTGACGCCCAACCCCCACCGTCCTCCCCCGCCCACCACGGCGGCTCCTCTTACTATTCCATCATCTCCGAGTGGAACTTAAATCTTGAGGACGACCCCATACTCACGGGCCTCCCATCCTCCTCCTTCTTCATCGGCAGCCTCGTCGGCGGTTTTGCACTATCCACTCTCGCTGATACGTCCTTGGGCCGCAAGAACATGCTCTTCCATTCTTGTCTCTTCATGTCCCTCTCTTCATTGCTCGCAGCCTACTCTCCAAACGTTTGGGTCTATTCTTGTCTCAGGTTTCTCTCTGGTTTTGGTAGAGCCACCATCAGTACCTCCGCCCTCGTCCTCGCCTACGAGCTCGTCGGAAAGCAGTGGCGAGGCCAGGTGGGTGTCATGGGATTCTTGTGCTTCACTCTTGGCTTCCTCTCACTCCCGGCCATGGCATACTTAAACCGAAACTCCTCATGGAGAAACCTCTATATATACACATCCATCCCAACAATATTATACTGTGTGTTAGTAAAACTCCTCGTACACGAATCTCCTAGGTGGTTCCTCTTAAGAGGAAGGAAAGAGGAAGCCATCGATACACTAAGATGCATCGCATCAATATCTCAAAGCTCATTGAATTTAGCCATTTGTGAAGTGTTTGAGACCGAGGAAAGTTCGGATGATAACATGAATTTATACTCGGCACTGAAGGTTTTGAGGCAATGGGCTTCAAGAAGGATCTTAGCTGTTATGTTGCTGGGTTTTGGTATTGGCGCGGTTTATCACGGGATGCCACTGGGTCTCGGAACGCTGTCGTTTGATCTGTATTTGAGTGTGACGTTCAATGCTTTATCGGAGCTGCCATCGTCTCTTTTAACCATCGTATTGATTGGCAAGTTCAACAGAAGAAGTGCTATTTGGGTATTCACCATCATGAGTGGGATTTTCAGTCTCTTATCGGTGATGAAGTTTGGGAAAACATGGATGCAGCTGGAAATGGGGTTCGAGTTGGTGTCGTTTTTCAGCGCTTGCACTGCGTTTAATATATACTCAGTTCAGACATGTTGGCATAAATCTCAATTAATGAAACACTTGAAGTTGGTACCCCGGGGGGTGGGGGGGGGGGAGGCTTTACATTGTAATTAGGTGGTAGCTCTATGTTTATTTTGGCGTCTGTTTTCTGCTAAAAAAATATCTGGTAATCTACGTGTTCTGATAAAATTGAACTGTGTGTGCTAGTGTGGAAAAATAGTAATGAAATAAGATGAGAAGAAAGGCTTTAAAGGAGCATGGTTTTAATGAGTTTGATGGCCTAAGTATTGTCCAAATTAATATAAAATTAAAATTTGTAGTAGAGTCGAGTGTAACATAGTGGCCTCTTTTAGAATCAATTATTTAGCTACTTGAATGAAAATTTCTTTAAAAGAAATAAGGGTTTAATGACAAAATTAATTAAGGAAAATCTAAATTAAAACTGTATGACTAACTCGAGTTAAACCTGAAACACACCGCAATCAATCACAAACCAATCACCTAAATTAACCTCACTCATCCACAAAATTAATTGAGTTCATTTAACTTTATTTTTCTCGTTTTACTCTTATTACAGCTTAGGATCATGATTTGTGAATGGTCACACCAAGAAAAATAGTTCTCCATTATATTACTGAAATTGCAAGAAACCAACAAGAAAAATATGAAGAAGGGGACGTATTCCGTGGTATAAAGTGCCTCCAAACTTTTAGATGATATTAAAAGAACAAATTTACTCCCACAGGAACCCTTGATAAAATTATAAAAATACTCAAAGAATAAAAAAATATAAATAATTAGTTTCCAGAAATTGATTCTTGACTTGACCTTTAACAATATCTGAATTCTTTGACCAAAAAATAATCTTTGTCAATAATTTCCAAATCAACTCCAATAAAATTGCATGAAACCAACAAGAAAAATATGAACGGGTTGGTTTAGCCCGCCTCGTCGCAGCTTGACGTTGAAAAAATTTCAACCCAGCCCGCTATGAATGGGTCGCTTGTCAACCCACTTTCTCTCTCTCTACATTTTTAAATTTTTTTATTTTCAAATTTAATTACAAACTTTTATAAATTAAATTTAAATTGTTTCTATATTTTTATAAAGTTAATAATTAACCCCGAACATCTATTTTACATAATTAGTCTACTAACATAAAGATAATTACTTTTTGGTGGGTTGAATTTTCAAACTCAACTTATATTATCGGCTTTTGATTATTTTAGAAAAGTAATGGAAAATTTTGAATCAATTAAAGGAAATCTTGCTCAATCATGGTGAATTTGAAAGTTATAGAAATTATTGACAATACATTTATGTCCCCGACGAATATCACACTATTGAGATTCAACAATATATTTTGAAAAACTATTCCCGTGATTTTGTTATAAAGCATAAAATAAAAGAATTAAAATCTAAATAAATACGATAATCAATCAAATTTGACAATCAAACTCAATAATCCTTGTAATTGAAAAATAATTATATGAAACTAATTATGACAATGGATCCACTAATAGAATTAATTGATATGGTCAACAAAAAGAATGAGACAGAGAGCTTTTAGACATCTTTTGTCTCTCATATAAATAAAGACACGTATAGTATAATATTTCACTTGAATATGATGAGTTAAAGTATGTTTTTAGTCTTTTGATTTTACATAAAATTTTAATTTAGTCTCTTGACTTAAAAAAATATATTTTTAATATTTTATCCTTAAAATTACTAATAAAAAAATATGATAGTGAGATTTTGAATGTTGATAAAATATTCATAAATACTAACATATTAATTTTAATTAATAATCATAATTTTTATAAAAAAAATTATCATTTAAAACTAACAGTTTTAAAATTAAAAGACTAAAAACATACTTTTTAAAATTAAAAAACAAAACTGAAATTTTATATAAAATTAAAAAACTAAATATACACTTCCTTCAGTTTGATATCATATATTGATTCAACACATATATTCAAATCTTCAATTATTTATTACAAAATAATTTCTGGGATCATAGCCACACCCTAATTAATTGCCGAGACATCAAATCTTTAATCCGTAAATCATTATTATGACTAAATAAATATTAAGAGAATATTCTTGGCCTCGAAGAAATTAGTGATCATGGCCCTATATATGCGATACAAAAACAATGAAAACATTGATATTGCTTGGCATTCAAACGCAGTAGCTAGGGCTATACAGAGGAAGATGGAAAGCTCAAAGATAAGTCTATTTTGTGCTGTCTCTTTTCTCTTCGTCTCCCTTGTGGCGAGCGATCGTCTAATTCTCTCAAGCTTCGTTCCTTCTGGTTCTTCTAACCCTGAACAAGCTTTTCAGAAACCGTCTTCTTCTGTTTCAGCCATCTATGGTCCTTATGTCAACTATGGCGTGAAGAGGCTTGTTCCTTCAGGTTTAATTAAATTCTGAAGTGCTAGACACACACACACACACTAGTCTTTGTTGTTCATTTTTCTATGTTAACTTATGATCAAAGTGTTGTTTTTTTTTAAGAGACTTGTTTTGTTGGTGCAGGTCCAAATCAAGAGAAATCACCTGAGTCGCCACATTCAAACATGAACTATAACATGAAGAGGCTTGTTCCTTCAGGTTTAAATTCTGAAATGAATATTAAATTTTGCGAATCTCTCATGAAGTGCTACACACGCTAGTCTTTGTTATTTATTTTTCTATGTTAACTTATGATCAAAGTATTGTTTTTTCTTAAGAGACTTGTTTTGTTGGTGCAGGTCCGAATAATGAGAAATCACCTGAATCCCCTCATTCAAACGTGAACTATAACATGCAGAGGCTTGTTCCTTCGGGTCCCAATCCTTTGCACGATGGCATTGTTCCTCTTCCTACTAATAAGGGATCGATGAATTGATGAGAAGAGGCTTGTTCGTTTCAGTCTGAATTCTGAAAAGTTGATCTGATTTCTTTAATATACTAGTGCATGTTTTGGAGCTCCATTTTGAGGGGCTTTTTTTTGTTGTTTTTGTTTTGTTTTTATTTCTAGAGAAAATTATGTTTAATTTCTCATTGAACTTAATTATTATCTGAATAGTCAAGGAGAGCAGTATTATTTGTTTTTTTTGGTTTCAACATTACTCGTAGTTATTTTTTTTCTTATGGAAATCAAAAGTTATGCGTTTGTATATAGTGGCCAATAGTATGGTGCACACGACTATAAGTGTTGAAATATTTATCAACTTTGTTTATTTTAGAAGTAAAATTAAGATGGATTTTGGTCGTTTATAGCCAGTGTGAACTTAAGTATGGAGCTAATTGCAATGCTTAGTACATTTTGCTCATCATAACCAACTATATTATACTCCTCCGGTTCTTATTATAAGATCCAATTTGACTTTTTATTTGGTCCTAATTATAAGACCCAATCCATTTTCTCTCTTATATTTATGCATTTTTTTCCAAGATAATCCTTCTAATAATGATAGTTTTAGCCAATATACTTAATTAGCAAGGATATTTTAGGAATAACAACACTTATTTATTATAAATAATCAACTTAACTTACTTCCTTAATCTCCTCAAATAAGTCAATTGGGTCTTATAATTAGGACCGGAGGAGTATATGAATATAATTAATAAACTAAACACTTTTTTGTTACCGAAAAAATTATTGTAATTAAAAATAAATAACAAATGATAAGTAAGAATTAACAGCAACTTTCTGATTAATTATATGTATATATCAAAAATAAAATTGATGTAATAATATGTACGATATAGCTAGTGCCACGTGGTTCATTTAATATGATGCTTCAACCTTTGCTGATTGCCACGTGGTTCATTGAATATGACCAGTTGCCAAGTCATTGATGCAAGGAGTAATACCGGATTACCTTGAAAAATTAAGAAAGTGTTTGGATATAATTAAAATACTTTTTAAAAACATTTTTTTTGTAAATGAGATGAATTCGTCCATATATTTACTTCATATATCATGAAATTATTTTTAAAATTATAATTTAATTTTCATTCAAGTACCCCCAAGATAAAATTGGGGAATTGAGATTAGGATCTAAGATTTCAAAGGAAAAAAAGTGTTATAATAAGTTATACATACTGGGCCCAATTCGTCCAATCCATGATGGGCCGGCTGACCCACATCATGGACACGACGTCCTCTTTTTCCATTTTGCCGGCTGCTGTTTTTTTTTAAAATATATGCATAAATGCTACTTTTTTTTTTTTTTCAATTTAAAATTTGAATGTGGATAAATACCTTTTGTATAGCTGTACAAAAAGACCTTTTCAGTTCAACAAAAGGTGTTTTGTTTTTGTCTCTTCACTTGAAACAAGATGGGTTCGTCTCTTTGATTTCTTCTTAAGTCGATTGATTTAAAATATTTAAATCAGTATTAATTTTACATTAATATATCACTTCAAGGCCTCTTTTATCACTCACTCTAATTCATTAAGATTTTGGTTTCATTCTTTCTCCTCCATCTCCAGGTATATAATTAAGAGTTTAACTCTATCAAAACAACAAAACGTCACAGAAATGGCAGAGCCAAACCAAACTTTACCTGTATCTGATTTAGAAAGGAGGGAAGCTTCATCACAGCCATCTTTGGACGATATAATAGAAATAAGCCTTGGAAGCTTTGGTTGGACTCAACTCCTTCAATCTCTCCTTGTGTCCTTCTCAATGTTCTTCGATGCACAACAATCATTCATCGGTATCTTCACTGATGCTCACCCTTCAGAAGCTTCTGATATCTGCAAGATTCCAAGATCTTCTTCGTGGGCTTGGGATGGTCTCTCCCCTAAGACAATCATATCCCAGTGGCATCTTGAATGTGCCAGTTCCTTCATTACAGGCTTACCTCAATCTTCCTTCTTCATGGGTTGCTTGCTTGCTGGCTTTCTTCTTGCCTCGTCCGCTGATTCATCCCTTGGCAGGAAGAACCTGCTCTTTCTCTCTTGTTTAACCATGTCGATTGTTTCAAGCATCATTGTGTTTTCCCCCAACGTCTGGGTCTACTCAGCTTTCAAGTTTCTGATTGGGTTTTGCCGCTCATCGATCGGAACTTGTTCTCTGGTTTTGCTGACAGAAAGAGTTCAAAAAGAGTGGAGATTTCGAGTTGGTGTCCTCGAGTATATTTGGTTCACATTAGGGTTTATGTCCTTGCCTGGTATAGCTTATGTTCACAGACATTCGTCATGGAAGTCTCTTTACCTGTGGACTTCAATTCCTGGAATTTTCTACTCCCTTTTCGCTTACATTTTTGTCACAGAGTCTCCAAGGTGGCTTCTCATGCGAGGTCGAGAAAAAGAAGCCATGGCTATGCTCAAAGGAATCACTCCTGATTCAACAGAAGAACATGGCGGAACCATAACTTCAAGTCAATTAGCAGAACTTGCTCAACAACAAAGTAGTGCTTCTTCAACTTCTTCCAACCCCTACTCATCGATTAGAGAACTTTATGAGAAAACTTGGGCTCTTAAACGATTATTAGCAGTTATGGTGCTTGGCTTTGGGATTGGAATGGTGTATTTTGGCATTCCTTTGAACATGGGAAACTTAGGCTTCAACATATATCTGAGTACTTTCTTTAATGCTTTACTGGACATACCAGCTTTCATAGCCACTTACTTGTTGGATAATTGCAGGAGAAAGCCTTCAATTCTGGGCTTCTGTATAGCAACTGGGATTAGTTGTTTGATTTGTGGTGTGATCACTACAAATGATGAGATTCTTCGCAAAATGAAACTAGGGCTTGCTTTGATCTCATTCTTCAGTGTTGGGACAGCTTTTAATATGTTTCTGATATACGTAATAGAGCTATTCCCTACATGTGTGAGGAATATTGCAACATCAATGGCGAGGCAGGCCATTGTGTTTGGAGCCATATTCAGCCCATTTTTGATATCAGAAGGAAGGAAAAATGACTTGTTCTCTTATGGCGTGTTTGGGGTGGTTATATTATGTAGTGCTTCTTGTATTCTACACTTGTTTGAAACCACAGGACTTCCTCTCTCTGATACTATGGATCAACAGGAGAGGAAAGAAAGCAGAAATGTATAAGCACACACACACACTTACACATATGTGTGTGTGTGTGAAGCAGAAGCTATATATATTGTCAATATTATATATATATATATATTGAAGAATGATAGTCTTCTTGGATCAGCCTGGAGCACCAAATGTTTTTGAATGGCTTCTTAATTCTCTCGGATAAATTATCTGAAGAAGGAAAGTTTATAAATGAGGCCACGTGTATGCAGAAATAAGGAACAAATGAATATTCAAAAGGATAATGCAAGGAATTAAGGTCCGTTGTATCTCATATGGGCTTTGTCGCTGGCGTAGTTATCTCATATGGGCTTGTAGCTGGTGTAGTTTTTCTTGGGCTGGGTTGTATTGGGCCAGTCTAATGGATTAACTTTAGCCCAAACGTTTTTGAATTTCTCAGTCACTAAAATCACATATTAATGAAATCAGTACCAAACCCAACAGTTGGTAGATATAACAATAATGTGATTATGTGGGCTGAAGTTTTTTTCTGTATGAAAATTAAATAGTGGGTTAATATTTTTAGGAACCACATTAATTGCCAAGATATGATGTCATTGTTTTCCAAATCAAGTTAATCCGCAACAGACATACATATTGTATTTTGACAACATTAAATAGAAAATATCTTTGATTAGCCTGTAAAACCAAAATAATATAAGTTGGAAATTAACTGTTTTGTGAATGTACCAAGCATTAATTTCTACAAAAATATATCGAAACCTATTCATTGTAGCAAATAGCGCAAAATCGATGGCCCCAAAAAAAAGAAAGGAGCAAAATCCTTGCAACCAATAAAGAGAAAATCTCAGATTACCATCATTGTCAGGGTTGATCAGTATTTAGGCCATTCATAGATACTTTTTTAGTCCTATTTATAATGAATAAGGGACAGAAAGAAGATCTTTTTATTCTATTTATAAGTTATAATATTCCATTTTTAACAAGAATTTATATACAGGTTAAAGAATGTATATACATACTATTTTATGTATAGATTGTTATTTTTGTTGAAAAATGTATATATCATATAAGAGAAAAATTTGAAGATAAAATTTTAATAACACACAATTAAGGCTTTTCTTGATTACGATAAAACATATTGTAAGAGACTTATAAGTAGAATTATAAAAGTATGATAAATGTTTACCGACTATGGTGAGACAGTTCAATAAATTCAAAGATTTTAATGATAAAATTTAAAATAAAAGAAAATATATTCATTAGGTTTCATGCACCTTACCTCATTCATTTGAGGCTCCAATAATGTACGAATTTCCATTATGGATATCATTATATAGTCCCCCCAAAAAATCATCAATATTAATGACTAGCAAAAATTGCACATCCCCTAATTACCAACAAATTAATCCTTGCTGATATATGTATATATGTAGCATTGTTGAGAGATATATATTAATACACATACCTATGCTTATCTATCATTGAGTTGGGTTTTTGAAGGCATCAAAATGACAAACTCAAAAGTTCATTTGCTTTCTTCTGCAATCTGCTTTCTTCTCTTAGTCTCTCTTGCTGTGAGTAGGCATCATGATGAGATTAAGAGACTGGTTCCTTCAGGTCCCAATCCTGAGACTTCACCTGATCCTCCACCTCTCACATCTGATCATAACAATTTGAACTACAACAATATCAAGAGGCTTGTTCCTTCTGGTCCTAATTCTCAGCGTTCACCTGATTCACCACACGCCGCTTCTAGCAACTATAATATCAAGAGGCTTGTTCCTTCTGGTCCCAATCCTGAACAATCACCTGAATCGCCTCCAATCACTTATTAGAGGCTTCTTCCTTCAAGTGGTTGAGAGCCTTGTTCGTGGCGC